ACTTGATGGTCTTTAAAGATCTACTAGGAGATAGAGCATCGAACATCTTGCCGCACAGCGTAAGTCATCAGTTTGCCTCAACAAACTCTTATAAATTTTTTTTTAAAAAATGTAACGGTTTCCCTGGCTGGCGTAGCTCAGTGGATTGAGCGCAGGCTGCGAACCAAAGCATCACAGGTTTGATTCCCAGTCAGGGCACATGCCTGGGTTGCAGGCCACGGACCCCAGCAACCGCACATGGATGTTTCTCTCTCTCTCTCTCTCTTTCCCTCCCTTCCCTCTCTAAAAATAAATAAATAAGAAAAATCTAACGGGACAGATAAGATAGGTCTGTGAGGAAAGTACACGTGGAAGAATAAAGTGCCACGCGGCAGATTTTACTTCTGTTACAGAAACGGAGGGAAGGAAGCTCTTCGGGCTGAGGGGTCGGAAGGGACGGAATGGAGACCGTCCATCAAGTTCACCAAGTACGAACGAAGTGGCTAGCTTCGGTCAGACTAGAAACACCGCCCCAGGGAGGGAGTCCAGAGCGCGATCCTAAAGGCAAAAAAAGGGGAGCCGCCCGAGGCTGATTTTCGCCCCGAGAGGGGCACCTGTGGGTTGTGCTTTGGGAGCTGAGTCTGGCACGAAGCACAGGCGACTGGTCTGTGGAGGGCATGTTTGCCCAGTTCAGAGAGTGAGACCCAGGGGAAGCCACAAGGGGCAGACTGGAGAGGTCCTTTCCGAGCCGGAACCGAAGGCTGGCGGGATGTGGGGGAAAGGATGCTACGCCTTCGCTACAAGTTCAAGTCTGACAACAGCCACGCCGTTCTGAAATACCAAGCCAGGGCTCTTATATCCCACACCCCTGGGTCCACCTTGCTCTTGGGTCCACACCTGCCTGTCCCCGTAGCCCCCCAGAGCCCAGCACCTCACAGGCACGTGGGCCAAGGCCAGGGAAGCTTCACAGCCCTCACCCCAATCATCTCTGAACTCGGCTGCTGGCCCTGGACCACGCCCTTCAAGTCTCGCCTCCGGGAGCCCCACGGACAGGGGAACGCCCCAGGAAGGAGACAGGAGCCTGCCTGCCCTTCCTCCCCGGTCCAGGTAACTGCTGCCCTGCCCCTCACCCGCCCCGGATGAAACCAACCGTTCCCACCTGGTCCATCTCATTTCTCGGATTTCCTGGTAAATGGGAGGACGAGTGGGGAGACAAGAATACACTAACTCGGGTGGGGAAATTGGGCCAGATCGGACCCGGCTCTTGTCCGCTGCCTAGGACAGCGGCCCCCAGAAGCCGGCAGGAGACTTAGCAAACTCAGAAGAGACTGATGTCCGGGAACCCAGACTCAGCCGGTCAGCTGATGGCCCCCCTTTAAGACAGTGAAGGCGCAAGGATGTCAACGAAACGGACCCAGCGCTGCCCGAGACGCTCACTCCCACGGGCCCCTGGGGCCTGCCCGTCTGGGCGGAGTCTTCTGAGACCGGCGCACTCACGTCTCCCCTCCAGGCTCTAAGGTCTGAGCCTGGCAAACGACACGGGTCCCCTGCAGCACCTCGTGCCGTGCCTTGGACACCCTGGGCATCTGAAGATGACCCACGGGCCCTGCTCAGTGCCCGCTGCTCCCATCCCGGCCCTGCCTCTGTCACTTTAGAGAGCCGTCTTCGGCTTGAAGGTTATCAGTGGGGTCAAGGCGGCGACCCTCCTTCTGCCCTGTGAGATTCCCCCACACCACGGCCACAGCCCAGCCCCCTGCCTCCGACACTCCACCTCCCTGGAATCAGCCGTACAAATATTTTAATCACCTCTGGAACCAGCCTTTCCCCAGGCTCAGCTACTCAGCTGGATACTGTTCCTGAACCCCCTCCTGCCCTCTGTCCCCCCTCGGGGGAGCAGAGAGGACTCAGGGGTGCCAGTGATCTCAGGGCCCAGCCAGCCCCGACTGGCTTCACCTAGCAAGGATGCGGCACCGGGGCCCTCAGCTTTCCCAGAACCACCAACTCCCGCCCCTCCCCCAACCCACACAAAGGCCTGCGAGCCACCCTGGAAAGAGCACCTTGGGTTTTGCCTGGCCGCCCGGTCTGTCTCCCGGGCTCAGGAGTACAGAGGGACACGGGGCACAGCCAGGTTACCTTCCAGGGGGCCGTGACCCTTGAGAGCTCCCCGTGGGAGGCACCTGTGCTCGCCCAGGAATGCCAGGGCGCATCCTCCTTCCAGCCGGGCCCCACCACTCCGCACTCCGTCAGGAGAGATGGATGGACCCGCTGACAGCCTTCCCGCCGCCTCCCCTTCTCCCATCCATCTCTTCCTTCCTCCCGACCTGCAAAGCCCGTGCCGTGAGGAGCTACCTCCCGGCCCAGGTGGGGGAGGGGAGGGAGGGAAAGGGCGCTTGCTGGAACCCCAGCCTAGACCCGCACACGCACCTGGAAGGGGCGCCTTGGCGGCCAGAAGTCCCTGAGCACTCTGAAACTTGGAAGTCCCCCATCCAGGGCTCTGCTCAGGAAGTGTCACTCTGGAATGCGCCCCACCCCCCATCGCTCTCCCTCCCCCCCCCACCCGCCGCACGTGAAGGCTCAAAGCCGGGCGGGGGGGAACTCCAGGAGCACAAAGCTCTGTTTCCACCGATTCCGGCCCCTGTGCTTTATTTAGATCAAGGCTGTGGAGCCCTTAAGTGGCTGGGTTTTCCTGGGCGTAAAACTGCGGGCCTGGGGGTTAGGGGCGCTGCTCGACCTCTGCGGCTGGGAAGGGCCCCGGAAAAGCCATGGGCGGTGGGGGAGGAGGGAAGGGACCTAGAGGCCCCGTCGCCTGAAGTAGAAGCTCTTTGATCGCCTGAAGTCCCAAACTTCGGGCAGGAACAGAGAGCGCTCCCCATACACTCCTCCCCCCGCCCCCGCGGGGTTCTGCGCCTACGGAGCCGAAGGAGCCGGACAGCCACTCTCTCCCCACCTCCTCCGGCCACAGAAACCTGCCCTCCCTAGGCACCGCAGCGGGCAGCATAAAGGACAACGGCCCACTTTGACGGTGGATTCTCACAGAGGCAGTGGGGCTGGGGGGCGGGCACAGTTTGGAGACCCCAAATGTGAAGTTCCTCCCCGCCATCCTGCTCGGAGTCGCCGCGCCGGGTTCCTCCCCACCCCCCAGTCCTTGGCAGGATCCGGTTAGGAAAGTTTCTGCGACCCAGCGCAGTTCGAGCGGCGTCCTCCGCTCCCAGGTTCTCTCTGCCCTCGTCCACTCCCCGCGAGTCCAAGCCGACTCTTCCGGGCGGCCGAGGGGAGAACGAGAGGGAAGGCAGCCGTCCTTACCTGGGACGCGCCGCCCGCCCTGCTCCGGCGCGCGAGGTTTGGGGCCAACTCCTGCCCCAGGCGAGGCGCAGGCGGAGGTGGGAGGGACTCTGCGCCGGGCGCCGGGACCAGGCCCAGCCCTGGCCTCGGGTGGCTGGGCCCGGGCGAGGGGTCGAGGTGCGGGGCCTGCCTCTCCCCCGACCGGGGCTGAGCTGGCCAGAGCTCGGTCGCTCGCTCTCACACTGGCCTCACCCCGCGCTGGGTTCCTTTCTCTGGGCGAGGGTGGGCCGGCCCCTGAATCACCGTGACATCACCTCCATTCAGGCGCTGATCCCGCGACCGCAGCTCCAGGTGTGTGCACAAGGTTTACACTGTAACAAAGCCCGCCCGGCCCTCCCCCTCCGACTCACCTCCAGGCCTCCTCCAGGCTCCAGCTAGTCGCACTTTCCGGCAGGGGAGGGAGATCGGAGTTTCTGGCGGAGCTCGCCAGTGGGTTGTTGCTGTTTGCTGCCACGCCCCCGCGCGCGGGTGCGCGCACACTTACGCGCACTCAGTTTCTGGACTTGGCTTTCTCTCCGGAAAGCGGTTTGGGTACAGCCCAGCGCACCTCGCGGCCGGCTCTCTCCCCCTACATATCAGGGCGCGCGCGTGCGCGCGCAGGGACTCGCACCGGGGCCACCTTGGTGCGTCTCTCTGTGGTGGACGCCTAACCTTTTGTCACCTTCGTCCTGGCGCTCCCGTGAGACAACCGCCGGACACAGCTCACTGCTCTGGGCTGGAGTGAGAAGCACACTCAGACACAAAGTACGCCTTTGTCACATCTTCTGTGCCCCCCCCCCCCAGCTTGCACACGTGGACACAGAAGTGCGCGCACCTAGTGCAGTGGGCAGAGCTCAGAACCACTCGGGACTGTGAGCAGACGTCGTCCCGAACCTGACTAACCCGCACCTGGGTTTCCAGCGACCAGCCCAGACTCCAGCCAGCTCGGAGCGTGCGCTTCTCCAGGCGCGTCCGGGGTCCCAGTTCGGACTTGTCCTAATTAGCTTTCGCGCTGCAGTTCCCTTAGGCACCGTATTTAACCCGGCCCCAGAGGTCTCTGCGCTGCGGGGCCCTGGGTCCTGATCCCGAGTCCTGTCCCTCCCATTGCCCGGGGACTTTTCCACGAGTTCGGGTACCTTTGGCTCTCTCCACGCCCTCCCAGGCCCCGGGCTGGATCAGCGGGTTTCCACCCTTTCCCTTCTGGCCCCAGGAATCCGCAGAAAGGGAACCGCAGAGCTGAGGAAGCGAGTCCAGACTGGGACCTCCCCAGCCTAGTAAACAAGAGGAGATTTTCCAGCAGCCCGCCGTCCCCCGGGGCTGCGAGCTCCGCGCGAGGTGGGCTGCGCTGTCCGAGGCGCCCAGCGGGGCCTAGTTAGCACCGGCAGGAGGCCCGGCGGGACCGCAGCGCAGCGGGAAAGGAGCGGTTGTTGGGCCTGACCGGAGCCCAGGGGACACGGAGGGAGGGCGAGGCGCTGGGTCTCCGGGGTGCTGGTTCTCGTGACGCCGAGTTGCCTGGGGGATCGCCAGAGGTGCCCGGTGGGAGCCAGCTGGTGGCGGGGCGTGTTTGCTCAGCCTGGAACGCCGGTGGAGGGGGGAGGGGGCGGGGGGAAAGCAGGCGCAGCGGGGGAGGGGTGGCAGCTGGTCACGGGCCAGGGGGTGGCAAGGTGGGGGGAGGGGTACCTCCCGGGCTGTTTGTTTTGAGTGCCTCAATCTATGACAACCAGAAGTCGAACTCGGTGAATCACTCTGAGCCGCCGGAGCGATAAACCTCAGGCCGGCTCCTCCCCTCACACACCGGCTTTTCGGACACCGGAGGGAGTGTTGGCTTAGCGGCCCGAGCTGGTGGTGGGGCGCTGGTTTTTCTAGAACCTGCCGCTTTTCTGTGCCTTGCTCCTCGCCGACTGGGCCGGGAAATGAAGATTGAATTGTTTCAGTTCTTTTAAATATGAAGCAGAAGAGCGCAATTCTGCTGTGGAGTTGTGCCTTCCGTCTCCCTGCCTTAACTCCACCCCCCACCCCCCACCGGGCGCCCCCATGCGAGGGTGTGCAGAGCTTGTAAGGACGCAACAGCCCGGGTGCCCACCACGGAAGGGTGAGCGGAGGGCTGACCTAAGCCGGACGAGTAAGCCCCTCTGGCCTTGTGCTGTAGTGTAGTTCATTAACGAGGCTAGTAATGCGGAAATCAGTTTGCGGGGAGGGGTCGCTCATTAGCACGTGCGACCTGCTAGCTCTGAGACGGGGACAGGTGCGAGGGAAGCAAGTGGTCTGGGAGACAGGGACTTGGCCTGAGAGACCTCAGGGAGACACAGAGGGATTGTGGGTCCCTCGCAACTTGCTCTCAAGCTGTGGGCGCCCCTTCACCCAGAGAGACCTCTCCCAAGAGGCAAGGCTCCTCCTCCTGCATTCTAGGCGCAGGCAGCGGGGGGCTGGGGGACCTGGTGCCTGGCCCCCAGCTGGGAGTCCTGGGAGGGGGTGCACAGCAGCTGGGCTCTGCGCCCCAGCCCTGCACGGAGGGTAGCCCTGGGAATGTAGGGCAGTTTTCTGAGAACTGTTGCTTGTCCCCTTTTCTCCCCATCGCACTGTGGAACGTAATCTGCCTTTACAACAAAGCAGGGCCCTGGGGCAGAGGACTTGGGCCGCAGGATCCCGGTGACCTGCCTTCATTCCCCCTGGGGCCTGTGCCCCAGAGGTGTGGAGACTGGAGGGGGCGACACTGAAAGCCTCACCCCTCCCCCAGCCCTGTGAGTCTGAGTGGTGGGCGCTGCTGGCCACAGGGGGCCTCGAAGGGAAGCTCTGTGGGAGGGGCTGTTGCTCTACAAGGCTCCACCTACAGGGTCCTCCGTGCCCCCCAATGCCCCTCACCCATTGTAGTAGCCCACAGGCACGGAAGCCCTAAAAGCTCCCATTTCCCCTGAGAAATAGCACTTCGAGAGGCGGCCCCACGGAGTGTGCGTCTCCCTCCCGCCGACCCGTGGAGACCACCCTTGTTCCTTGGAAAACTCCTTCCTGTCTTTGGCCTGAAACAGTCGGAGGCTCTGACAAAGCCCAGGGGGTCAAGAGCAGCTCTGCCGTCCGCCAGCTCCGGGACCCGGCGGGGCAAGTCACTTCGTTTCTCCGAGGCCCGCTTTCCTCCGCTGTGTGGCGGGTAGGACGCCACCCCCACGGCTGGCTGGAGAACAGTGGGCAGACCCACGATTCTGTGGTCCAAACATCGGCAGAAAGGGTCGAGGGGCAGCCCCGAGACGGTAGCCCAATGCCAACCTTCGCCCCCACACCCCCTGCACAGCAGGGGCCTCGGAGACAGCGCTGCGCCTGCCCCACCTGCCCCACCTGCCCCGCCCACGGGTACCAGGCCTCCCTGGGCCCGCTGGGGAGGCCCACCTCCCCGGGCCGGCAGAGCCCTGCCTTCCGAGTCCAGAGCAGAGGCCTTGCTTGGGGCCCTGGCAGAGCCTGCCTGGAGTGCAGCTGGCTCCCTAGAGGGACTTCCCTTTTGCCTGGGTAGCAGGAGCCCTGGAGTGCTGGGTCAGCTGGCAGAATCTCTTCCAGGGGTCATTGCCGCCCGGGGAGCAGGAGGCCCCCTTTCCCAGGGGGTAGAGTGCCCCCCGGGGCCTTGCAGTCTGGGCCCAGTGGAGTGAAAATAGTTCCCCCGCGGAGCTGAGGGTGGGGCGCTTGGCTGCCTGACAGATAAGTGCCTGGAATCCTGTGCCGGTAAACAGATTTTGCATTTGCCCTCTGCTCGCCACCCACCACCCCCCCCCGCTCCCCCCACCCCCTCATTAACCGGTTACTGCCCAGGTTGCAGTGTCTGGCTCTGTGTCCTTTCCTCAGGCTCACGGGACTGTCTCCCTGGAGCAGCAGGGGCGACCTGGTTTTGTAAGAGGACCCAGGTACTAGGATGGCGCCTTGAGAGGCAGGAAGTCCAGGGACAGGGCGCAGGTGAGTTAAACGCTCGTTCACCACGACCGGCCGCCCATGGATGATCCCTCTGGAAATGTACCCGGAAGCAGGCCCGGGACAGAGCCTGCTGGAATGTCACCTGACGCCCAGCCCAGCCGCACCTCCCCCTGGGCATCCATGGCTCAGTGACCAGTGGCCAACCCCCCGCGGAAGAAGCAGCCTGGATTTTCGGAGTTGCCTGGGTCTGGCCAGCCTCCACCCGCCGACAGAATCTAGAAACCAGGGTCAAAGCTGACAGTCCAGGATGTGGGCCCCTCAGCTTACCTGTTCTTCCCCCCACACACACAAATGTGCAAACAGTGCTGCATTGAAGCCCCCCTTACCTTCAGGGAGAGTCTTACCCCAGACCCGAGACCACTGCAGGGGTGGGCACACCTTCTACCTCACCTCCACTCACCCTGCAAACCCCCTCGCCTTGGGGGGCACGGGTGACTTCGCCCACCACTCTGCTCACGACACCTTCACGGGCTCCCGCGGCCTTTGTAAGTCAAAGACCGAGCTCCCTGGCCCGGCATTCGAGGCCTCTGCAGCCTGCATCGACCTGGGCTCAGCCTCGTCTCTCCTCCGCCCCACAGGAAGCGGCCGCCACCGCAGCCTGGAGCTCAGCTCTGAGTCAGGCCACCGCGCTTGCCTTCCTGCAGCTTCGCTTGCGGTGCCCCCACTCTCACTCCGGGCCGCCCCACCTTTCGGACTCTCTGGATCAGTCCCCCTTGAAGGCTCTGTACGCCTCGCAGAAGCGTTAGCTGGTGACCCCTCAGCTAATGGGGGGTGCTCTGTCCCCCACTGTGCTCCCAGAGCTCCCAGCCCAGCACTGCGTCCCCCTGTTAATCACACCTCGTGGGTAAGGGATCTGGCCTCAAGGGCGTGAGGGGCTCAGTGAGAATGGACTCTCGGAGATTTCCTGCTCATCCCTCCCCAAAGCCCTTTGGAGAGGGCTTCATTCAACGAAAGTGGGCGGCACGTGTCAGTGGGGTGACGGGTGGAGAACCGAGAGCGGCTACCAGCCTTCTCTGAGGGGCAGGGCCTGGGCTTGGCCTGGCCACTGCCCAGAACCCTTGGCTCCCGCTGCCCCCCAGAACCCCGGGCCACGCAGTGCAGAGCGAGGCTGGCTAGTCTGTTTACGCCAGACCCTCAGTGGCTTAGCTCTGCGGGGCGCCGTGCTCTTTTCGAAGTGTCTTGTGTGTACATCTGAGCTTTACGGTGCCACGAGCCCCACAGGGCGGACAGTCTTATCCCCATTTCATAGATCCACAAACTGAGGCTCGTAGAGGCTACGCAACTCGCCACGAGTTACAGCCCATTTGTTGGAGCCCCGCTGGCCTCGCAGGTCACTGTGCTGCCCCCAAAGCGCCTTCTTGTCTCTGCTAGAGCTCATATGTTCCTGCCTTTCTTTTTTAAGATTTTCTTTATTTAGCCCTGGCTGGCGTAGCTCCGTGGATTGAGCGCGGGCTGTGAACCAAAGTGTCGCAGGTTCGATTCCCAGCCAGGGTACATGCCTGGGTTGCAGGCCATAGCTCCCAGCAACCGCATATTAATGTTTCTCTTTCTCTCTCTCTCTATCTCCCTCCCTTCCCTCTCTAAAAATAAATAAATAAAATCTTTAAAAAAAGAGATTTTCTTTATTTTTTTAAGGAGAGGGGAAGGGAGGGGGAGAAACATTGACGTGTGAGGGAAACATCCATCGGCTGCCTCTCGCACGCCCCCAGCGGGGAACCTGGCCCACGACCCAGGCGTGTGCCCTGACCAGGAATCAAAGCGGTGACCTTTCCGTTCTCCGGCCAGCGCACAACCCCCTGAGCCACACACCAGCCAGGGTACGTGTCCCGCCTTGCTGATGCTGGTTCAGGCACACGTCTTGTGTCCCCATAAGCTCTGGGACAGAAAGCTGTGTACCTGGTCCCTCTGTGGGTTCCCTTGGCGCCTCGCCCGTAGTAGGGCCTCAATAGACACGTTTGCAAGGGAGTACGTGGATGAAGGCTCTGCACAGGCCTGCACGAGGGGACGCCAGCGGCAGAGCAGGCCAGGGGTCAGGCAGGCAACCTCCCTTCTCAGCTATGGTCCCTTCGCCCAGCCGGCCGGCCCTTCCCCTTCCGAAGCCAGCCCGAGACAGTGCCACGATGGGCCGCTGCCCGGGCTGTGGCAGAGCCCTGCGTCTCCCCGTCCGCCCCGTCCCCCTCCAGCCGCCGGCCCCGATGGCCGTGTCCTCCCTGCGCTGCCTTCAGGGCCGCTCAGCCCCGCACCCGCCTTGCCAGCTGCTGACACAGTTCACCCCACCGCGTTCAGAAGACCCGCCCCCTCGCCTGGGACGTGAGGGTGCCCCCGGCTCTCCAGCTGAGCCAGGACGCCGAGGTGATGGGGAGAGAGCCGGCGTGCCACGGGAGAGCCAGACCCGCCCGCACTCACCGGCGACGGCGCCTCCAGCAGGGCAGGGCCAGCCAGCTGGCTTCTGGGCGGCGTCCAGTCCCAGCTGTTCCCCGTGTGACTTGGGCCTTGACTCTCTCTCCCTCCCCCCGGAAGCCCAGCCGCGGAGCGGCCCCAGGCTGCCGGGAACCCGGCCGTGCTATTCTGGGAGCGTGCTGCAGCCCCGGGACGCCGGGCGGCCGCTGACACGTTAGCCCCTCCGGTTTCCTCACTGCTCCTCTCCCCTCTGAGGATAAGGCGGCGTTCGGCCATTATGCCAAGTTTCAGAGCCACGGATGGCGTGGCTGAGGGTCTTAATAGCAGCTGTGGTTTTGCTAAAGTGGGACCTGGCCATAAACAGGCTGTACTTCAGCCCTCTGATGCAGCGGCCCGGGTTCTCGCTGTCCCTCGTGCGGTCACTCCCGTTCAGCTGAGACTCGCCCGCACACCCGCCCTGCTGCGTTAACCCCTTCGCAGGCATTCTGGCCCCGTCCCCTCCACTGAGGTCCACGGAGGGGTTTCTGCTGAGGGCCTTTTTTCTTTCATTTTTTAATAGAGGCTGTGCGAGCCCTGGCTGGCGTAGCTCCGTGTATTGAGCATGGGCTGCGAACCAAAGTGTCGCAGGTTCGATTCCCAGTCAGGCCACATACCTGGGTTGCAGGCCACGGTCCCCAGCAACCGCACATTGATGTTTCTCTCTCTCTCTCTCTCTTTCTCTCTCCCTTCCCTCTCTAAAAATAAATACATAAAATCTTTAAATAAAGAATTAAAAATATTTCCTTAAAAAAATAGAGGCTGTGTGATTTGATGCTGCACTTCAAGTGTCAAGGCTGAGTTCAGGGGACCAAAGACAGGAGCCCGAATCGCACCCCCACCTGACAACAAGGCTGAGCCTTAGCATGATTTACCCGACTTCCGGCAGCCCTCACCGAAGCCCCTGAGATGACAGGGTCGGCTGTGGTATCCCCACGTGGGGACTGGAGGCCAGGATGGGAGGAGAGCCTGCCCACGGTCACACGGTGACGGACATAAAGGTCAAGGCTCCTGTCCTGACTTCCCGCCGTGGCACCGGAGTCTCGGAGCTGGGAGGAGCCCCGGCGCTGTCCAAAGAGCACAGAGCGTGCTTCTCCGTGACGTGGGGTAAGGGCGATCCCGGCCACACGTGATTGCTGTAGAGCACAGGCGGCAAACACGAGGCCCTCGGGCCGAACCCGGCCCTCCACCTTGTTTTGTCCGGCCCAGCACCTTGTTTCTACCCGGCGACAGCGCCGAGCTCCTTGCCCCTCGTTAAGGAGCAGTTACATGTACACAGTCCTAACACTCGGCCCTTTGAAGGCAACCTGGAAGCTGATGCAGCCCCCGGTGGACGTGAGTTTGACCCCCCTGCTGGAGAGATGACCTGAAACCTCAGATCTGGGAGCCCCTGGCCAGAGTGCCCGGTGATCCAGAACTTTCTGGCTCCAGGCTCACCCCCCTTCCACTGCCTGATCTGTGCAGGGGCAAAGCAGCTCACAAAACGGGGAAACGGGCGGAGGAGCTGGTCCTTAGACTTTCTCAGACTTCACGCAGTTTCCGAATAGGTTGAGTCATCTGTTGCAAAAGCAGACTTCTGGGTCCCCTCGCAGACTCTGCAGCCCAAGTCTCCGACCCAGAAGCCCAAGAGCCTGTTTTACAAAATCCATGCTCCCCCCGCCCACCCCTACCGCTTTAACCAGGTGTCGAATGATGCACGCTGACCTTGAGACCCGGTGAGGCAAGGTTGAACCAAGAATCGTTCAAGTCCGCCGTGAGGAAAGGAGGGAGAAACAGAGGCGATGCACAAGCGGCGTGGCTGCCCCGTGAAGCACTTTGCCATCACAGCCCGTGGGCGGTCCCCTGCTTCTCGGGGGAGGAAGGGCTTTGGAAGAGGGCGTAACTGTGGGGCCAGAGCGAGGAGGCACAGAGCCCCCTGTCCCTGGGAGGAGTTGCAGGAACCGAGAGCCTCGCTGCCCCCCATCACCCATGCCTGCCCCTCTGCGTTGAAGGGGATGATAGCATCATGAGGGGCCTACTGGGCTTCTCCGTCTTTGCCTTCCTTGCCCTCCGGCCCCTGACCAGTGATTTGGAAGCTCAGGGGGTCTAACCCCCATGACCAGCAGTCTGCTCGGGCGAGCTCCTTGTTTTCCTGGTTTTGCTGGTCCCTGGGCACCCAGGGCTCTCTGCCCTGGTGACCTCCTGTACCTGGCCCTGTCTTCCTCGCTCTGCTTGCGTCTGTCAGACTGCCGACCACAGACCCACATGACCGGCAGGCCCGGGATTCCTGCCTGTCGGGAGGCGAGAACTTCAGGAAGAGGGAAGGGGCAGAGCTCCAGGAGAGAGGGTGAGCACGTCCCAAAGACAAGCCCCCAGAAATGCTTTTCTGGAGCGGACCCCTTGTAGGTCCCCTCTCCCTGGAGGTCCGAGGAAGCTGCTGAATCATTTCTGGTTGGTGTCCTGTCTTACCTCTTTCCACCCCAACTCCTCTTTCTAGACACGGAAGGCTCCAGAGATAAATGTCGTCAGCTGACCTTGATGTGAGGGCCAGGGATGCCTGCAGGGGGCATTTTGGGTCAAGGTGATGGGGGCGGGGGGTGGGGACGGGGCGTTGGGCGGAGAATAATGTTTTCTCCACCCTTCTAAGTGCTCTGCAGGGGACTCTGTAACAAAAGATACATTCGCAAGAGAAAAACAAGTGTGTTTATGAACGTGTATACTTTATGTACGCAGAAGAGATACCCAGGGGGAAATGAGTAGGGCAGAGAGGAGGCTTGGACCTCAGACTTAAATACCATCTTCAGCCCAAGGCAGCAGAAGGAAGGCTGCGGGAGGTCAGTGCCGGGCAGGTGGCCAGGAAGAGACACACTAAACAGGAGTCAGTTTTGTTGGGCAGAGTCAGGTCCCTGCCTTCCCCCTTGGTGAGAGTCCCACAGTGTCCAGAGCTGTCTCTCTCTTCGTGGTGCAGAGGGGGAGGCACCCCCACAGGCGGGGATTTTCTTTTCTTTTCTTTTCTTTTCTTTTCTTTTCTTTTCTTTTCTTTTCTTTTCTTTTCAGGTTTTATTTATTTAAAGAGGCTCAGTTTAATTTATTTTTAGAGAGGGAAGGGAGGGGGAGAGAGAGAGAGAGAGAGAGAGAGAAACATCCATGTGCGGTTGCTGGGGGTCATGGCCTGCAACCCAGGCATGTACCCTGGCTGGGAATCGAACCTGCGACACTTTGGTTGATAGCCTGTGCTCAATCCACTGAGCTACACCAGCCAAGGCGGGGATTTTCTTTATTCATAAAAAGTTCCCTTACAAAAGGGTAATTGGGACTGACTTTAGAGCTTCTCCAGGGTAGGCTGTTGTTTTTTTTTTTTGTTTTTTTTAATAATTGGCTCAGAATCCTCCTTGAGGCGTGTTTTGGGATGGCGTGTTCAGTGGCAGCTGAGGACAAAGCATACCCTGTAGCCTTTCCCGCTGTGTTACGAGGGCTACACCTGGCCCCGGAGGCATCGTTAGAAAGTGCCGAGCACACCTGGAGGTTCTTTGCATACAATTTTCATAGGTGATACTGCTCATTCAAAGGGACAGTTCACGCCCTGGCCGGGTAGCTCGGTCGGTTAGACGGTGGTCCAGATCCATCAGGGCTTCAGGCTGGACGCCGGTCAGGGCACGTGCAAGAAGCGACCGATGAATGCGTCGGTTTAAGTGGAACCACACACGGCTGTTTCTCTTCTCTTCTCTCCCTCTCTCTCCCCCTGTTCCTCTCTCTAAAACCAATCAATAATAATAATAATAATAATAAGGTTAAGGAAAAAGGTACAGTTCAAATGCTGTTGCCTTTTCTTATTTCTGCATTTGTTGCCATTGACTCACTCCTTTGCTGCAGCCACTGGCTGCTGCCTGCTCTCAGGTGTGGGTCTTGCTCCCCGACTCAGAGAACAAAGGGGAGTGGGCACTTCTGGGGACCCAGGGCTTCCGGGCCTCTGCTTGTCGGAGCTCATTTCCATCTGCTTAAAGCAAAGCAGCCCGCGCAGGAGAGAGTTACTCCCGACAACCCTTTCGCCCTAATCCCGTATTGC